CGCGGCGGAGCCGCCCTGAGGCGCGGCCCGGGCTAACTTCGGTTTATGGAAGTTTGGAGGAAAGGGGCAGTTTTTCGGGTTCTTCAGGCTCTGTTTGCACCTTGCACAGACTCACCCTGTCTTGTTGCTTCTTCCTCTGCGTCGGTTTCGTCATGTTTACAGCCAAAGCGAATGGTGCGTGGACTGCACGGTCAGACAGTGCAGTGGGATTTGTAAAAAGCTTGTAGATTTCCAAGCCAAAGGAAAGGAAGGGTCAAAAGGGGAAAAATGCAAATGTGTACATAGATCTTACAAGAAAAAAAACTGTTGCATGAGCGCTCTTAAGCAGGAATTGCAAATCCATCTGAGAATTCAGAGTTCTTAGTGCAATGGTATATAATGAGATAGACAAATACCTTTTCCAAAAGCCTGCTGTATGCGAAGAAGGTCACTGAAATCAACTCCCTGTTTTTCTGGATGAACTGCAGTAGACCTCTACTTTAGCTTTCCTTTTTCTCTAGCTCACTGACATTTTAAAAAGGTTGTCCCAATGTATTAGGTAACAGAGCTTGTGGTAACAACTCAGGATATTTAAAGCATTGCAAGCATGTAGTGGGATTTCTCTAAAGTCTACCAGGTTTCAAATCTGCTTTCTGAGTGCCCAGGTGACTGAAATTACAAGTCTTGCTGATTAGGAAGATTTAAGTAAGATGTTACTAGCTTCAAATGTTAAATGCTCCCAAGCACTTGGTGGTGAGGGAACAGGGATCAGCTTCTCCTGGGGGCCTGGAGGTGCAGTGAGGATGCGCAGCTGATGCTAAGCGAAGCCTGGTGACACGGGTGGAAGCTCTGTCCGCTGAAGAGGAGGAGAAGGAGCCCGAGGTTGAAACCTGCAGCAAAGTGATGGACTCATCTGTTTTGCTCAGTGCCCCTGGGTTTGTGTTAGCTTGCAGAAAGCCCCGTTGTGCAGGTTGGCACTGCCCGGGGTGCTCTGCAAAGTTGGTAGGATTCCAGAGATCGCTTTTTCTTTTGGCACGGGCTAAATCAGAGTGTGTTCATTAGCTCTGTGTATCTGAAGTCCCACGCAAGGCTTGGTGCTTGGATCGGGGTGCAGTATTCTGGGACCGCAGCCTCCGGCAGGCTACAAAAGACCATCCTTAGAAAAACAGATTTGTGCTGGGATAGCCTGCACGCTCATCTCCCTCTTCTTTCAGCCCTTGGGTAACTAAAAATCCCATTTCCTTGTAAACTGTCTAGGCGGCAAAGCTGCCCGAGAGAAAGAATATCCTGCTGCCAGATGCTCTTTTTTATTTTTTTAATTATTTTTTTCTCTAACACAGTTGTTTTCCTCTTCACTTGATAAAGTTAAAATAAACAATCTCTAGGGTAAATTAGAGGCGTCAAAATTGGATTGGCATACAAACTGTAGAGCAGTTGGTGGTTGGGAGTCTGGGGAAAAAGAAACAGCAGGTTTTAGCTAGAGGGGACAACAGCTTTATTTCCCTCTTGGTCCTTGACAACTAAGCAGATGTCCTACAATTATTGTTTTACCTTCTAGTAATATAGTGTCTCTTCCTATCCTCCCAGGTATGTGACCGGCTCTTTTGCAGATGTGCAGGTAGGTTTCTTCCCTTATTCAGGGCACATTTGTGCCCCACTAGCTCCATCTATTGCCAGCTGGCGTCTGGCTGGGATTCAGCTCGATGCTTCTGCTTCTCCCAGTCCGCCCTATCAGAGGATACTCATTTCCAGTCCAACTTCGGCAGGTACAACTGGTGGTCTTAAGAATATGATATTTTCTGAAGGTCTCACAAAGCTTTTCTTTTTTTACACTCTCTGTAATGCAAACTGTGCCTCTGGAACACAGATGTTTGTGTTTTCCGTGAGTGTAAACCTTACCTTGACTGCCAAGGCAGGCATAGCCGCTGTGACTGGGTACCCACGGTACTCGACTGGGAGACATAACGCAACGGTCCTGTTCTGAACAGCATGGTGAGTCTAAAATTATTTGGTAGAAGGAAGACTTGGGAAAAGAGTGCCAAGTTAAATTAATTTTTAAAGTTCTGGGCCGGTATATATAGAAGTGCTTGCATAGTCTGTTCACAGACAGCAAACGATCTGTTCAGCAATTTCTGTTTAGCATGAGTGAGGTGAAGTTTGCACTATCTGAAGTACGCTCCTTGAAAATATCAAACTATAAACTTTTCAGAGTTTATCTTCATCTGGATGAAGCGAGCTGAAACCTGAAGAATGTGGCCTTTTCTCTTTATTTTTGTAAGGCAGTCCTGAAGTCTGTTTTTAACCTTAACAAAATTGCAGTACAGATTTATCATCCTACAGGACATCTGACTGAAGTTAAATAGCACCTCAAGTTCTTTTTTTTTAAAAACTCAGTGGGATACAAGACACCTTTTTTTTTTTCTTCCTCAACAGGTGTGCATTTGAGCTGCACACAAGACATTTTATGTCTTTACAGCTTACAGGTATAAATTATTTATAAATCCTAGGCATTTTGGTATCTGCATTTACACCCTACCCAGTTTCTCAGTTTTGTATTCAGTGCTTTCTTTGTGCTTGAGGGCCAAATGACATGTTAAATTCTTAGGTCTTACTTGAAAGAGACATTGCATAGTTAACAAAATCTTCAGTACAATTTTACTCTAAAAATCTTGCACCTGCTCTGTATCACTAAGGACGAATGTGCTGTTTATTTAGGGTGGCAACAAGGAGAAACAACCAGCGGAAATGTTTTCACTGTAGAATAAGGGAGTTATAAAAAGTAGAATCTTGGCAGATGAGGCGATCCAAACAGGACCATCTTTCATTAATGGGGGAATAGAGTGATGGGCGGAGGGTTGCCGTTGCTCAGCTTTCTCTGATGGAATAACTTGGCAACTAATCCTGTTTCTTTAGGGTTTGCCAGGGACAGCCAGACAATCCTGATGGCCGCAGCGGGTCCAGAGCTGCCCGCGCTGAGGAGGTCTCGAGTGCCGTGCCAGCCGAGCCTGCAGCCTCGCGCCGAGGAAGAGGACGGCAGGGCCGCGGCGCCTCGCTGGCGGGAGCGTGGTGCCCGGCAGCTCGTGGCCGCGGGACCGGTGCCGACAACCGCTCACAACGAAAGGTGACAAATCACTCCTGGCACCTGCATGTGAAATGACAGTCAATTAGAGAAACCTAGGAAGTGTTTTCCTGTGTTATCAGTAGCTACCCTTGTACCTCGGGTGCATGAGGTCCAGACTGACAGCACAGCTGATGTGTTTGATGTCTGTCTGCAGAATTCGTGGGGGAATATACTGGGGCTCTGTCAACCAAACCTGCATGCACTGGTTTTCGTTTTTTTTAATCAGAGGTGGCCAGGAGGGACACAAATGTCCAGAAGCTGGAAGCACGGACTGCACTTGTGCTTGAACCCCAGTCATGGCTGTGTTCCGTGCGTATGCCAGCAAACACAATCCCAAACTAGCCAACAGCTACCGCAATGTCCCAAGGTGAACTTGTGTTAGGACTGGAGCCAGGCAGAGAGATAATCACTGAACTGGAGAATAAATGTACCATGTGTCTCTCCTGTTCAAAGCCACTCTAATTTCAAACATCTTGCCTCAACAACGATCTGCTAACAAACTGCAGGCCAAGAATCTGTCAGAAGAATTTAAATACAATTCTGACAAGATCAGAACTGGATAGACTAAAACTTTGTTAACCTGTGGCTAAAACAAAGCTGAGCAAAGGCTTGCCCAGGTGGGCCCCAGAATGTCATCTCTCGGGGATTTTCTCCCTTGTGCAACAGTAGCTTTGGAAAGCAGGAGATTTATTTCGGGTTTAGTATTCAATATTTACACTCATTACAGGAAATACAGGTTGACCTAAATTCATTATTTTGGAAACTGAGGGAATGGAGCTGAGAGGAGGTGCAGTCAAGGAAGTGACGCAAGCTTCCCGGAATTTCAGTATCTGAAAGAACAATTTTCTGAATGGGCAAAAGGAGCTGGCAGTGAGACGAAACTAAGAAACAAACTATCTTCCTCTGGAGAGGGATGAGACAAATGAAGTATATGGGGCAGCCTTTGCTTGCTCTCAGCTAAATGGTTTAGAATGCTAGAACTTGAGAACATCAAATGCTGATCGTGTACTATTTTCTAGCATTATGATACTCAAGTCATTATGCTACTGTCTATCACTTGTCACTGCTGTTTAGGAGAAGTGCCTGTATTTCTAGTGTTCTGTTGATAATTGCCAACGTCCTTCTGCTAGTAGTATTGGAATAAGTTTTCAGTTTTATTTAGGTTCTGGCAGAAGATGCTGGCAAAACTATACAAGTTGGAGGAGGAGGAAGAGACTTTCAGGTAAGAAGAGGTCTCTGTGCTGCTCTCTGAGATGCTGCAACCTCTCATTAAAGAGGATGTGAAGTGATCCTTGAAGTGGGGTGTTTCTGTCTGTTCTGTGAATGTGCATTTGACTTGTCTGCAGAGAGACAGTTGTAATAAAACATGCTAAACTTCCCATAGTGGGTACTGGCAACCTGCAAGTGTTTGCATTTGATGATCTGGAGCAGCAGGTAGAGGCTGTGGTGTTTAACCTGCCTAGCAGTAGGACAAATGTCTTCCATTTGCACTGAGGAATTCCACTAAATGTGAGGTGAGGGGAAAAAAAATACAGTGGGAATGTTGAGCAGTGTGGGATGGGGGAGCAGGCAGTCGGGGGTGCTGAACTCCGCATTAACACAACTGCATCAGAGGAGGCAGCGATGCCTGACTGCTGGAAAACAGCCTGCTGCACATGTCGCTATTCCTGGAGCACAGGCTCCAACTTTCCGTAATCTGCTGCTTTCTGTAGAAATTAGTGCCCTCTAGCGGGTTAGGCGGCCTCAGAATTCCACAGTCCGACTAAAACAAGTCAGGAACGGGCAGGGAAGAGGGGAAGGAGTCTGGTTAACAAGGAGCAAGATGTTAAGATGAGGTCTTTCTCATTTTGAGTGTCTTACGTGCAGATTGTCACTTCCCAGTATAAATGTGGATCTGTAACTGGAGTGCTACGTTGTTTCCTCTGCCTTCCAGAAAGCAGGTGAGCACTGCAAAGATGACACTGGCCTAGAAAACGTAAGTGATCGCCCAAATTGCACCCAAAAGAGATGGGAGGAGTTGGAGGGCATGGGAGTGCTACCTGCACACAGGCACT